ATAGTATTAGAAAGATGCTACATACAGATAAAATACATTCTAATATATTTTTATTTAATTTATAACAATTTTTGGAACATTATATTGTAATATAATTTATATTTATGATTTTGCTATTATATTATAATCTATTTAATGGAAGTTTGCAAAAAGTATATAATAATATGTAAAAATATTTGTATAAGAGATGTATATTTTTATAAAACAAAAATTAAATCTTATTTTATTATAACTATATCAAAAAGTGTACCTTTTATAATCATTTTCAATCGAGTACAGTTTTCTGGAATATCCAATCTTTGATCTTCCAACAGCAATTTTCGTTTTAGAAGCCACAAATAATCAAAAAGAGAGTCAATGTAAATCAGATGATGAATAAAGTAAGAATAGTCACCATTTTTTGTCATTCGACGATATTCCAGAAACTGAATTCAAGCTGTGATTGACTCAGTCTTTTTTTATCACAGTATAAAAATATGATTAGAGACAAGGAGGCTAAAAACTAAATAACTTATAATGAAAACATAACATCTGTGAGTGCATCAAAGCCAAAAGTATAACTTATGCCCATTTCTATTGTAGATTTAATCTCAGTTCAATTTAATTCTCCACTTTCTTGTAATTCTAAAAACTAAAAAAAGATAAAAAGTAAATTGAATCGAAATTAATCTACATTCGATAAAAACAAGTACAATTCTTTCCCGCGGTTTCATCACAGAACATATACCTAGGCTACGTTCCAAAACTTCCTTTCCGAGAAAAATTTTACTCGTAATATATAGTATACGTGACGTATACTATAGCATATAGAGTAAAATGTTCCTCGAAAAGGAAGTTTTGGAACGTAGCTCTAGAAAAACTCATAGAAATAAACTCATAAAAATATTTCCATCAAAACTGTCGTTCAAATTTAGGTTGGCTACTCTTTCGCGAAAGGATAGGTAACCAAAATGAATTTTTCAAAATTCACTAGGACGAAAAAGGAATCTAGAGTTTCAATGTTGGTAGTATGTTTATAATGACATGCGCAATGTCAGTGAATCTGGCGGCAATGTAGTTTTGATGTAAGGAATGTATTTTAATAGAATTTGTTATTTAATACAATTTAATTGTTGAAACTGCGACAGAAATTAATTTCTATAAATATGGGTATCACCGGGTTGCTACCGTTCCTAGAAAAATCTTCTAGAAAGACGAATATCAAAGAGTTTTCTGGTGGGACTGTTGCAATTGATTCTTACTGTTGGTTACACAAAGGTGCATTTTCTTGTGCTGAGAAATTAATGATGGGAGAAACGACAGATGCGTAAGCATTAAATATATTTATTATTCTCATCATATTAGATTTGTTTTTCTCTCATATTAGATTCGTTTTTTTTTTAATGAATCTGCACCAATTCATCGTTTTTCTTTTTCTCTCCAGCAGGAAAAAAGAGAAAGAAAAATGAACTGGTGCAAAAGTTCAGCCAAAAAGAACAGGCCTATTTTCTTTTACATTAATGGGTGTTTAATAATTTTTCTATTCTATTATAGGTACGTTGTGTATTGTATGAAATATATAAATATGCTTTTGAAATACAAGATAAAACCCATCCTGGTGTTTGACGGTCAACGGTTGCCTGCTAAAGAGCAGACAGAAATCAAGAGACGAAAGTATGTACAGAGAAACGATTTATTCAAATATTATGAAGTTGAAAACTAAGCCTTATTCCAAAAATTGCTTTAAGTTCAATGAAACTTAAGCTTACTGTAAATTCTGAATTGGATGAATAAATAACATATGTATAACTGTATTATTTTATAGAGCCAGAGAACTGAATCGTCGTAAAGCAATCGAATTGATACAAATGGGTCAAGTTACAGAAGGAACAAATTTGTTGAGACGAGCTGTAGATATTACTCACACGATAGCATTAGAATTAATTAAACAATGTCAGAATGAGAACATTGATTGTATTATAGCTCCTTATGAAGCTGATGCACAATTGGCATATTTAAATATTAGTGGTATAGCTGATGTTGTTATCACAGAGGATAGTGACTTAACGCTATTTGGATGTAAAAAAGTTAGTATACTGTATTTCTTCTCTTATAGCTTAATTCTTTCTTTAAATTTTATTTTCTGTTACTTTAATATATAATAACATAGTATTGAGAAACAATATGAATGTTTTTTCAAGGAAAGGATTTATTTCCTGTTTGTAATGGTTGCTTTTTATTTAGTGACACAAATTGACACAAGTGTCATTTTATTTTTGTACTCATTTTCAGGAAAGGTAATGTTTGTGTTTACTTGTCTCGCCAAATGGAAAGCATCTAATATTTTTTGCTATACATCAATTTTCTAAAAAGTCTTAAAAGTCATAGATACCAGCTATTAGATAAACATTTCAAATATGATCTTCATTTATTAAAGTGTTTTTTGTTTTTATTAAAGTTCCTTTTTATTATAGATATTTTTTAAAATGGATCTTGTTGGAAATGGGATTTTGATCGCACAAGACCAATTACATTTGGCAATGAATGTAAGATCTGAACAATTTGAAATGGATAAGTTCCGCCATATCTGTATTTTGTCTGGTTGCGACTATCTTCCTTCTCTTCCTGGTATTGGCTTGGGAAAAGCACGAAAGTTTATTATGAAAAGTACAGACCAAAATATACATAGGGTTAGTTATGCCAAATTTAGCAGCAAACATTTTTTTCCATAACTTAGCAATAAGAAAAATCTAACAAGAATTTTATATAAATACAAAAAGAAATCTATGACAATACGAAAGTTGTATGCCTGTCTTAAATAATGCTGATCCAATATCTTTTAAGGCATTGACACGTTTAGGTTCGGTTCTCAACATGAAGTCGCTAATCGTGCCACAGGAATACAGAGACGCATTTATATTAGCTGAAATAACGTTCAAACATCAATTAGTATTCTGTCCATTGCAAAGGAAGCAAGTACGATTGAATCCACCCCCAGCTAATATCACTGAAGATCAATTGCAATATGCTGGAAAAGAGTTAGATGAGGACCTTGCTTTACAACTAGCTCTTGGTAATTGCGATCCAGCTACTTTAAAAATGGTTCATGATTTTAATCCAGATAAAATCGTAAGTAGTTGAATTAACTGTTATAAAATATATATTGGATAATCTTCAGAAATAATATGATACTCTAGTAATAAAAATTCAAAAGATTCATTAAATTTAATTACACATTGTAGGAACGAAAAAGAAAGCGAGATACAGGACAAACAATGATTCAAACAAGTATTTGGTCAGGCAAATATAAATTGAAGACAAAATGTCAAAACTCTTCTCTTTCTGTTTTGAATTCGTCATTTATTAATGGAAAAGAGCTTGGTAAAGAAAGAAAGTCTCTAATGAATGCGTATGTTTCATTAAATTCGCATAATAATTCGAACATTCAAAGCAATCCAGAGGATCGTGATTTACACAATACTGCCATTTTGGATATGTATAAATCAAGTCGAGATGCTGAGCTGATCGACAGTACTAACAAAACGAAATGTCAAAACTCTTCCCCTCTCTCTGTATTGAATTCGTCATTTCTTAATGGAAAAGAGATTGGTAAAGAAAGAAAGTCTCTAAAGAATGCATACGTCTCGTTAAATTCGCATAATAGTTCGAACATTCAAAGCAATCCAGAGGATCATGATTTACACAATACTGCTATTTTGAATATGTATAAATCAAGCCGAGATGCTAAGCTAATCGACAATACTAACAAAGCATCAGAAGATGATTTAAATTTAACGAATAACACATCACCAGATTTACTTAAACAAAAAAATCCATTTATTAAACGAGTATCTGATCTCACGACTTCACCAAGTATTTTATCCAACGGGAATTATCGAAAAAGAGGAAGAAATTTAATGCGTGTAAAACGAACTCTCATAGATGAAAATACTGTAATAGAAAGTAAATATTTCTCAAAATCAGATAATAAAGAGTGCAGCGTACTTGAGTCAGAGAATAAAAACATGGAAACCAGTTGGATAAGTACAAACTATAATACAATTTTAGATACGAATGTACATGATATAACTCGGAAACAACTAGAAGAAAAATTATCTATAACAAACACTGAGCAAAATGCAAATTCAATGGAAAATATTAATGATCCATTTTTATCAAACCAAAACGATTGTTTGACTAATATTTATAAAAATGTTTCTAAAAAATCAAATCCTGATAGGATAGACGATATACCATCAATGACAGATACAACTAATAAAAATTATGTAACAAATAATTATTTAGTATCATCAAATTCTAGTATCGACTTTATTGATATAAACAATTATGAAAATGCGAATAGTTCGCAAAATGATTCACTCGAATGGATAAATACAAAAAATGTTCAAAGTTTCCCCCACAAAAAAAATACATTGAGGAAACAAAACTCATCAAATCTGGTAAATACGCAGATACAAGTATATATAAACAAACTTTAGAAATAATAAGAAATATTAAAGTTAACTACTTAGTTAATTACTTTTAAAATATTTCTTAGGTACAAGTTATAACAAAAAAGAAAGGATTACGCCAAAATAAACAATCGCCAACAGTTCCTAGACAACAAAGTTTATTAGACATGTTCGGATTTCAAAAAAGGTAAAGTAAAAATTGTGCTAATGGGCATGACATCATGTGTTAAAATAATTTTGCACGTATATTGTATGTATTAGATATAATTACTGAAAGATTTTATGTAATAAAATTTTTTTTTCATAGGTCATCTTTTAAACACTGATTTTAAAAATCTATTAAATTTGCATAATTTATTATATTGACCAGAATGTGCTATTAATATTATTAGTATGATAAGTATTGGACAAATGCTCAAATGTATTCTGCAAAAGAATTAAAAGTCGAACGTAGTTAGAAAAAGAAAATGTAATAACATTTAAATGCATTTAAAAGAATATTAATATAGACAAGTGATTATCATCATTCATTCAAGACGAATTTGATTTGTCTATACAAATGAATCCTGCAGAGCAGCATGAATTCTTGTTATATTACTTCACTGCCATATACACATATAAACTATCGATGAAACATTATAATTAAGCATTAGTATAAAAATAAATATTTTAATTTATCAATCACATTCCAAGAATTTAAAGCTTTAGAATGTTCTCTATATGACTTACAAGATGAAGATCTTTTCTCATATATTACGTTATATTTATATACGGTTAATTGTAATCATAAACTTTGGAAATCTTTTTGAAAAACTGTAAAAAAACATTGTTATATTAATTTAATTATAAATATAAAGAATTTGTCAATTATTATTGTTAATAAATTTCTTAAATAAGATTACACCAAAATAGATTATATAAAAAATTCTATTTCTTAGCATTATTTAATAATAAGCCTTCATATAATTATCAATATTACAAGTGTTGCTAAATTGATAATTTAATAACACATTTCTATTAATTATATAACAATTATATAGGCTGAAAACATTTTTATTTATACTCAATTTTTTGTATCTTCTGGTTCCTCCCATGGCCGTGGTATTCTAATATTCTTCCAGTTGTCAAGATCAATCTGAATACATAAAAATTATATTGTACAGACCTGTAATAAGGCTTGTTCTTTTTAATTAAATTTATTGCACAATTTCGTTGTTTCTTTTAGAAAAAAGGAAAAGATGAGCTGTGCAAGAAGTTCAGCTAAAAAGAACAGACCTGTAATCTTCTAAAACTTATTTCAATCTTTGCCCATCGTTCTAACATGCATACCTTCTCCAACTTTTCATATTCTTTCTCCAAAGTAATTTCTTTTGGTGATTTTATTTGAAATCCGTCTTTTTCCAATTCGTCGTGTATATTATATTGAGATGTACGTTTATATCTATAACTAAAGATTTATTTTGATAAGGAAATTGCGTGTTCAACAGATGATACTTTTTTCTCTCCTAAGGCAATTACCGTATTTCCGTAAATTCTCGAAGGCCAAACGATCCACCGATAATAAAGATTACAAACGGAATACCATATTGCAAAATTCTAGAACGTGACATTACATTTTTTTTTATTTGACATCACATAAAAAGCACAATGGTGATCTCCATTTAAACCTCGTTCTTCATGTTTCGCAATAGTGAGGTTAGGATTTAGGATTAGGTTAGGTTAAAGGCATGCCTTTTACATGCCGACATTCGACGTTCGTTTTTAGCGGTAAAATAGATCACGTGATTAAAATTGACGAATAGCAATCGTCAATTTTGATCACGTGACCTATTTTGCCGTTAATGAGCATCAGCATGAAAAGGCACCTTTAGTCAATGCTGCCAATTTCATTTCTTTGCCGACAATAGTGATTGGCGCGCTTGTGCACGGTGATCAGCTGAATCAGCAACGATTTACGGAACTTGAGGGGTGATGGTGGGGGTGGAAGAGGAAGGCCATCTGGCCATCGCTATTATTGTATACGACCAACGAACCAACCGTCAGTCGTCGTAGTATCAGGTTCTGTTTCTGTTTATTCTCCCGGACTGAAAAGTAAAACGCGGGCCAAAATTGGGTGATTCGCTGACGTAAAGGCGTTTCGGACGCATCCGGGTGAGTACTTACCATTAATCTCACTATATTTCGTTTATACTTTGCCGAGACGAAGAATAATGGAGAGGAAAAAAGATTTCGCGAAATTTCAGTGGATTTGTCAGTTGATTGTTTTCGTTTCTTTTTACTTCCTCCATCTAACCGCGCGGATTTTGACTGGATTTTCAAGACGATAAATTCAGTCAAAACAATGAATTTCGATTGTTTTTTATTCCCGATTTAAATCGAGTTTCCAGTCGTTGGTGCATCGATTCTTTGTGTCGTAAAGTAGAAAGACCGTTCCGTTTAAGTCTAGATATAGTCTGTTTGTTGATAGCAACAGGACTAACGGGAGTTATTTGATACTCGGATCTAAGAAACTTGAGAGATTGTTTTGAACGAAGTTCCTTTGCTATTCTATCTATTAAGCTTCCGATTTGCGAAGAAAGCGATGCGCGGGTCATTGTATTCTTCTACTATGAACTCCGTTACGAATATTATTTCTTTCGTTTATTCCTAGGCACGTATTATAAAATTATACAGAATGCATTCCATATAATGCATTCAGAATAATTCCATAGTACGTGCCCTGAATGGAGTCAGAGTGATAACAAAATAGCAATGAAAATAAACGTTAGTATTCTTACAACTTAATATTATAATCAAAGAAAAAAAGGAAATAACCAAGAAGTGAAATTTGCAATTTATTTGAACCAAGTGACTTAATCCTTTGTTTTATAATGTCCGTTTCTAAGATTAAATTTTATTTAATCTTACAATTAATTTAAAGACTATTCTAATGCTTAGAAAAAGATAAAAGAAAAAGTTGAAGAATTTAAATTAATGTGCATTGCATTGCATTTTTTAAAATCAAATATGAAAAGGTAGAGAATATTTAATTATTATTTAAATTATAAATTGAAAAAGTATTATTTAAATTTAATGTAATGTAAATTAAATGAAAAAAATTAATTTAATTTAATATAATTAATAATTAGATCTATGTTTTTTATATCTAGTTTTTTAAATTAAAAATATTTTTAGAATATCAAAATTGTGATTAAGTATTTCAGAAATATTAAAAATGTTATATAACGTTTCGATAGAAATATTTTTAAAAAAGGAGACTTCAAGGGGGACCATGGTCTCCATAGCTCCCTCCCCTCTAGATTCGCAGTGTTACATTGGGGGGAAAAGAAAACGATGAACATACATAAATCAAACACAGACAAACAGAAATCGGTTATTTCATCCTCGGTTTATTTTATTTTTATTAATTAATTTAATATGGAACATATTCAATTTTTTATTAATTCTATCATTTCTAGAAATTTGTATAGATTCGAAAAATAGTTCACCGGTTATAATTAAGTATCGCCTCAAATGTTTGGAAATGGCGAAGGATCCTTTGCTCCTGAAATGTGATATTGTTAAATTAAAAAAATTTAGTTACGTTAATCGCGTTTCTTTATTACCGTATAAAACTTTCTTAAATATTTCTGTGCTGTATTTATATATAATAAATGATTCTATTTTTTTATTTAAGTTTAATAATTCTATATATTATTTATATCTTTATGATTCTATTTTTATGTGTATAATTTTTTAAATAATTTACATATTCGCAGTATTTGCTGCCAATATTTAACCATCGCAGGATTTATATACATATATAGATGCATCTTCTAACACGTGTAACATCCGAAAAATCGATAAACATTTACGTCGGTCTGGAGTGCGTTGAACTCTCAGAATATACAACGATAACGTAACCTTTAACCTCGTAACTACGCAAAAATACCTTATCTCGGTTATTCGATGAATACTACATAAATTATATTAACACAGCCTACATTACATTGATAGAAATTAAATTATTCCGAGAATATTTAGTAAATTCGAATTTTTAATTATTTTTTAATTTTTAAATAATTTTTTAAATTAGTATCAAACCTAGCAAACAAGAATGGATTGAAATGGATTGAAATTTTTTTCTATCCGAATGCGCGTATTTTAAATAGCGAATACCTTTTTTTTTAATTTAATTGGATTTAATTAGATTCAATTAGATTCAATTGGATGCAATTGGATTGAAAAACTACATTTTCTATCCAAAATTTTGAATTGAACAGTATTCACAATTGTGTGTTTGTGCACAGAAAAAGCTATTTTTAGATTGAAAAACATAGAGATATGTTCCATGCAATTCTTATAAATGAATAAAAATGCATTCGGGATTGAAAAGCATTCATTTTAACATTCGTGAATCAATATTTCTGAGAATCTGAATTCATTTCAATCCATTTCTCGTTTGCTGGGAACGACATTTGATAACAATACATATTATATAATCATATATATTTATTCTATACTAAACAAAAATTTCTTTTCTAAGCTGCGAAATTTTTACGTAATACGGAACCTTCCTTTCGTCATCATATCAGCTCTGGACCGTTTCGTTGGTCAGAGAAGGATACAGTTTAAACACTGTCTTTCTCTTTTTCCCCCCTCTTCTGTTATTCGAATCACAAGTCCCCAAGCTACATATTTTACGAATGATTTGTTTGCTTCGAATGATAGAGAAGTCTTTTCTAAGTAAACCTCCACCGCGTGTGGAACTAAACAGGTAGTCTAATGTCCATTTCTACTAATGTAGACTAATTTTAATCTCGATTCAACTTACTCTTTATCCTTTTCTAATTCTTAGATCTGGAAAAAGATAAAAAGTAAGTTAAACTAAAATTAAAGTTGATCTACATTGGTAGAAACAGGCATTAACCTTTTTTCACTATTATAGATTATCTTTAATTTGATAGATTAACTTAAACTCAGATCAAACTCGGTTTAATTTACTCTCTTTTTATATTTAAACTGGAAATTATTGTATATATATATATAAATTCACAAGAAATATTAATAGCTTTGACCGAATATAGTGTTTTCCATTCATGTGTCTTTGTTTTTTTTAAATTCTTATAAAGGATAGAAAATAAATTAAACTGGGATTAAAATTAATCTATATTAGTAGAAATTGCCATAAATAATTAAATTCAATCGGAGATTAATTTAACCAGTAAAACTTTTAGCTTGTGTATATGCTTAAAATATTGAATGATATGCACTTATACGGATACTGATTCGAAAACTACGCAAGACTTTGACCAAAATACGCAATTCCTTCGACAGAGAATGCCACTTATCTTCCCTGTGACGTCAGATCGTGCAGACTTACAACATTGACTCGCTTAATTTGGAAGTGATTCTCCTTTAACTTTCAACGCTGATAATATCTATCATAAATCATATTAAGTCGGATTTCTCTTATATTTCTCGCACACTTGACATTGAAATTTGTGGTATTTCAATAATGACGGATTTGGAAGGTGGCGTTTACGACGTTTATATAAACATAACTTTATCTCTATTTATCTGAAGAGGCTGTTTACGAAACGTCATTGTTTCATTTATCGAAGATACCTGACTATCTAGTTACGATGTTGACAGTCATTCATTTCATTTTCTTTCATTATTTTGCACGTATTATGGAACTGTTCGGAATGGATTCCAATTGGAGTTATTCCTAGAAAATACAATAGAAATCTAGAGAATAATTGAATAATTTTTATTGAATTCCATTTTGAATAATTCTACAATATGTTGCTTCATACATCCAATATGATCTGCTCTCTCACCTCGAAGGTAATTGAGAAAAAAAAGGAGAGAGAGAGAGAGAGAGAGAGAGAGAGAGAGAGAATATCCAAGTGCTTTATCGGTATGTTGCATCCTTGAGACGCTCTCTTTTCAGTCGCACAAAGGCAACACGTAGTATTTTGTTTATATGAGCAGTCGTGTTAAAAGAGAAAACGATTCGATTGACCTTGCATAATCGTGCGTTTGTTCACGTACGACGCAGAATTATTTCAGCGAAATTATTGAAGGCGTGAACTGAGACGTTTGCATAAGGTCAACTTGATCTACTTTAATGAATATCAATTGCATGTCGCTGGAGAAATTTTTTAACAATGAAAAGAAAAAGCCTTGCGACGCATTGGGTTCAACTTCTAATAACAAATTCGAGAAATGCAAATGGAAATTAATAAAATAATTTTAACGTACTTCTGTTTATCCGAAATTGTTGAGGGACAAAACAGTCTTGATAACCGAGTACTTATTAGTTCTGATAATAACAGCTGACTTTAAAAAACTACAGTTCAACACATCAAGCTCTTATTATAAAATAACTACCGGAGCATAAACTTCTTCATGCAAATAGGATGCAAATAAACAGAATTCTACTGTATGTTACCTATTCACAGTGCTGAAAATTTATTATAATTAGAATGTTCGCGTAGTATTAACAATTTGTCTGTAGTAACTTCACTTTTCGATGTACAAAATGTTTTTGGATTTGGAAAAAATCTGATTTAAATCGAACGAGAGATATCTATTGTTCAAAGTTCGTACATTTTGGGACCACCTTTATTTATTTATTTTTTTTTTTAATGTTATTATATATGGACACGAAAAGTTTCTCTCGAACTCTGTTTATACTCTTATTACTCTGTTTATAGATACAAGGCTGGCCAGCTGCGCCATTCTTGTTGTGTGGTACTTCTCATCAACCACACTACATCCGTCAAACCTGGTTGGTCATAGTCGGATTGTTGTAGTTAGCTGTTGCGATGTCGCACACTGCAGGAATGGACACGGGCTTGCCTGTACCGGATGTCATCCCTCCGCTCGAAGAACTTCAAGAAAACCTGGTCCTAGACCTCGTCCAGGAGGTTAAATTTCAACCGGACCTCAGTCAATTACCTATAACAACACAGGTAGAAACTTCCAGGTTGTGCAGAGGAAATGGTTAAAATTTTATAAGCAGCATCAATGAAACTATCGACTATGATAAGCTTTATTTTCTATATTTTAATATAGCAAGATTTTAGTATAGTATCTTCAAAGTTTTAAGACTTAACATATATTACAGATTAATAAAGATTAATGATAGCATTTGTTTATATAATTATCGAACAATTTCTGTTTGTCCAGGACGATGAGATAACGATTGGTGCTCGAGACAGATCTGCTCATGAACTAAGATGCCTAAAAGTGATGTACGATTTGTCTTCAGACGTATTTTTCATTGCGATAAATCTGATAGACCGATTCCTGACTAAAATGAAGGCAAGGCAGAAGCATATGGCCTGCATCTGCGTGTCAGCCTTTTACATTGCTGCTATCCAACGGATGCACTCTATAGATGCCGAACACCTAATCTCGATCTCACAGTGCAGATGCACAGCTGATGACTTGAGGCGCATGTCGGAGGTGATACGAAATAAATTGGAATGGGCACCCGGCACTGAACCCACTACCGCTCTGACTTTTCTACAGTTGTTCAACAAAATGTTTCATGCGGTAGCGGAGCAAATGCATCTTGGCGACGTGTATATCAATATCGTCAAGGTGAGCTATCATCTCCTAATTTATTTATAGGATAATCTCTGAGTCCATCATCTCTTATCACAGACGTGGTGATCTCTTCCGCATATATTATATGAGACTTACAGTTTTTGCTGGTTCTAAATGGCTTATTAGAGGAGGTTTGGCAAAGATATTTTCGGCAATTTATTTTCCAAGAGACGATGAAATAAAATCTGATATATGTGTGTTCTAGGTGGATTTGAATCTGGATCTTTGGCACAGAGAGCAGCCATGCAACTCTATGCCACGATCGTTACATAGATAATAAAAAAAAGAGATTACTATCCTTGATATCAAAAAATGAAGCGATAATGAAATTTGAAATATTTGTTAAATCACACCTTAATCTTATTAACGATACACTACCGTGTATACTGATTCATTTTTATTAACATGAAATTTATGATAAAACTATACTCCTACGAATATCATTCGTCCTGTTTCAGGAATCTGAATTGATCCTCAGATTGGAAATGGTGGCTTGCAATGGTAGTTGCGCGAGTCTCAGGCCCTCCGAGGTGGCTCTGGTATTACTCTGCACTTATTTGGATGCTGCTGTTAATCGACTGAATGCAAATGCAGACGCCACCGTGTCTGCCGACGACCCACTCTCACATAACACATCTGTCATTACGTCGTCCTATCAGATGCTGAAAGACGAACTCATGCAGTTTGCTGTGGAGCTCCGAGAGAAATGCAATGTAAATATTTCATTATTTCGCTTTTTAAGTATTATTTAGTTTAAAATAAATATCGGAAGAAATTGCGAACGGGGAAAAATATTTTCGTTGAAATGAAAATTCTTCAAATAAATTTTCAAAGCAAGATTAAAACAAAGAACAAATTAAAGTAGAACGAAAGTTACAGGACAACTTGGCTCGCGTAATTTATTTGTTGATTAAAGCTCATATTTTTAATACGTTTTAGATTTCAGAGGAGAGTTTCCACTCCACTCACGGAACAGTGGGCGCTGTACTGAGCAAGTATAACGCCCAGGAGCAAACACCTCATAGACAGAAACTAATCTGGAAACTTTCATCTCGCACTGCAGGTGTTCTACGTCCAACCGACAATTTCAGATCTGTACTACCAGCGATCGCGGAACACGCGCCGATTCCGTCTCCAAGCAGGATCAGGTATCCATCACCACTTCTCTCTGAGTCGCAATTAAAAAATGTCATATATTATTGGAATATAGAATTGTATGAATCTTTCTTTTGTAGAAAAACTCGTAAATACGCACGACGCCATGGCAATAAGAGACGTTAAAGTAACATCATCATTTTTTTTGGAGGTATGATGTTTTGGAGATATTGATGTTTATTCTCTACTGTTGAAGATATCATTATAAATTATTACAAATTTTTGAAACGAATCTTGTTACATGTTTAATTTTTACTTCCTTTCAGAGTACGGTACTGGGATTTCCATCTGATATATCATGTTTTTGATATATTAGATGTCTGGTACATGTCAAGTAAAAGCGCAAGATTATCACTTTTTCCAGTACGAAGATCAAAATTTTACTCGAAAGTACAAACATCGATTCACGCATTGCAATGATTTCCCATAGATACTTTGTTTACATGATCTATTCAGATGTCATACTGGCAAGATATAAGTTTCTTTCGTTATATAAATATAAGATATAATTATGTATAAACAACGGGTCCTAAGATCGCAAAGTGAACACAACGGCCGGTATTTATAGTCGGTTTTTATTTTAAGACCATTTTAAGTAACGTCTTAAGATATTAATGAGAATCTAATTGATTCATGACTGAAGATAATCTTAAATATAAGAATCGACTATAAACCCCAGGCAATAAGTAACGAAAAGTTTTATCGATCTGAGCTGGACTTTAAAGGTACAGTTTCACGTGCTGCTAAAACAATTAGAGTAACGGATCTGTCGCTCTTATTCCAGCAGCTAAAATGATAATACTATCGCCTCGATCATATTGATCAGCGTTGACCATGATATACTTAATTTATTCTTTGTTGCTGATTCAGATAACACGCGCGCGCGCGCGCGCACACACACACACACACACACACACACA